GCAACAATTAAAATAAATGAAAAGCTTTATAGGGTCAGAGGACCTTGGACAACTTCTCACCTTCTCTCCATCTCTGTGCCCCATTCTCCTATCTCCAACTGAAATAAGATGCAAGATGCAAATGCCGCTATTGATGGAATCTAATCAAATTGTCCCCAAGCTTCTGTTTTCATCCAGATCCTGCCCCTTCATTCTCAGATGAAATGAGAAGAAGAGAAGGCAAACAGGAAGAATTAACTTTTCTGATATTCCTTTAGCTAGCCAAGAATAATGGAATTTCGGCCTTTTAAATAGAACACACATTGTTATTTGATCTTATTCAAGCCAGTTGCTAGGTCGGGAGACTTACAAAAATGGCATAACTGGTGTAAATTTTCTTGTCTCGTAATACTTGATATAACTTAATTTTAGATGTGATTTTTTAGCACATCCAGCTGCAAGTATAACAAAGCCAAGATGGTTTAACAATAAATGTTGGCATTTCCTTCTCTAGAGTTACTATACTATTTGAAATAAAGGCCCTTCTTAACTGCAACTTAACATTCAAACAACTAGTATTGATTTTCTCCAACCAACTAAACTCACATCATGGTAGTTATTCTAAGTAGAAGGTATTTACTTGCAGCAGACAATCCTTCCATTGATGTTGTCTTCTACATCTCACCCCATGCCTGCTCTCCAGACTAACTTTTGCTTCAAAACAGATATTTTAAAATAGATGGAACACATGAGTTTTGCTGTGACATTATTGCTCATGTCCTTGTTTCTTAGCCACAGAATCCCAATCTTGTCAAGAAAGAGAGGGAAAATATCCCAGCTGTAAAATTCTATTTCCACCATGGAGCATGGGGCCAGTTAATAAACAGCCTCATAAGCGAGTCTTCAAAGGAGAGTTGTATTAAACACAATCAGCTCAGTCAGGCAACCAGGTTTGATCTTTCTTCCTTCTCCAGCCAGAAACACATTAATATGTGGTGGAGATATGGCCGCCAGCTATGATATCGAGGTTAAAACATAAACATGGCCAATAGAAGACTGTAGCAGTCGGAACTGCCATGAAACCTTTTCTAGCTTAATGAGAACAAGAGTAGGAATCACTCACTAGTTGAAGCTATTATTGACATAATTGTCAGAAAAAGCCTATGTGGTCAATTGTGACACTATTATTTAGTGCTGGGATTTAGACCATGGCCTCATATTGGCTAGACAAGCGCTCTACCAATGAGCTATAACCACCAACCTTTCATGGAAGCTATTCTTTAGGAAGTACCAAGAGTGTCAACTAAAGTCAATCTTTTAAGTAGTGTCTTCAGTCCCCTGCCTGCTACGTGTGCCTAGGGCACAGCCAACAGAGGTGAGCTGCAGGTTGTCCTCCACGCCTCATCGCTCACACTCCCAAGGAGACCTGCAGGGCCCCAGGAACACCCAGCTGTCCCGAGCTGTCCCCAGCTGCCCTGAGCTGCCCGAGCTGCCCTATGCTCCTCCACCTCTGTCCCAGCTCTAGGATCCAGCCATTGGTCCACTGGCCTTCACCAGGCCTGGGACACCAGGGCCATCCAGGGATAACCAGATGACTAAAGGGCAGTGTAAGAACATAATCAACAAGAGCCAGGGCAACATGGCACCTTCAGAGCACAGTTGTCCTACTACAGCAAGCCCTGGGTATCTTATGTAGTATCTTCAACAATGAGTGAAGAGGGACAGAGTCTCTGTCTTAATCTTACACCACTGTGGAAAGTACTGTCTTCAGTTCAGAAGTTAACTCTAAAAGTTGCGCTTCAAGACAACTTGATCATTAGAGAGATTAAAACTAAAGCCAGGATGGCATACTACTTCACTTTTTGTAAGGCTAGAGAGAAATTGGAATCCTTACACACTCACTCCCTTTTGGTGAGAATGTGAAACAGTAAATCACTAAAGAAAACAGTATGGCAATTTCTCATAAAGCTAAAAGTAGAATTATATGGTCCTGCAATTCCACTTCAGGGTAGAGAGCTGAAAAAACTGAAAGGAGAATCTTAAAACTATATTTCTATACTCAAATCCATAGCAGGGCTATTAGCAAGGATTAAAACATGGAAGAAACTCAAGTTTCCATGGAAGAATGAATGAACAAAATGTTACCATCTGATAGCAGAGTATTGTTCAGCCCTAAAAGTGAAGGGAATTCTGAAACATGCCAAGCATAGAGAAAGCTTTAGAGAACTCTGCTACAACAGACCAGTCAGGAAATGGTGTGTGGTTTTAGTCATGTGATTATCTAGAGGCGTCAAATCATCAGGAGCAGAAAGTAGAAGGCGAGGTTGAGAGAAAGATGGCGAGGTGAGGAATCCCAGAGATCCCTGCATGCCAGTGTGCGTGTACTCAACTGTACAAAGCTATACCGCACCGCGGGTAAAGTGACCGATTTTATCTTACAGGGATCTTGCCACTGACAATAAACTCTTTGACCTCACTAGCCTATGTGTAGGCATAGGAGGTATTTGTCAGGTACCAAGTTCCAAGTTCTCATATAACCAAAATGATTAATCTAAGAATGAGTGCAGTTCACAGCCTGCTCCCTGAAAGCCACCGTAATGGACGGCAATGCAAGCATGCACCCATGTCACCCGAAACATCCCGCTAGAGGCTGGGCAGCTCAGCAGCACAGTACCCACTGAGTACACACAGAGCACTGGGCTCAGTCCTGGGACTTCACAAACAAACCAATAAATTGGAGTCAGACATTTGTAACTTACTTTAAATAAAACATGCAAAGTTAGAAAATTGGACTTGCTGATCCTTAAATTAAAAACTCTCAACCATTATTCATTTGCTTATAATTTTGACATAATCATACCTAAGAGGAGCTATAACAAATTCCTTAAGTTTATGAATTCTTCCCAATTGGAACAGAGGGTAGGATGCTTTTGATATTTAAAATATTCCAATTAAATCATGAAAATAGTGTCTGCTTTACAACAAAAGATATCTGAAAACAAAAGGGGATTTTAAACTTCACTTAAATGTTAAGACTTTATTTTGGCTCAGAAAATTGAGATTCTTATTATCTACCTTTACTCTCACATGGCACCATTCTAATCACTAGATGCACGTAGCTGGCTCTGTACCTTAAGAATTCAAGATGATTTATTCCAGGAAACACGTTTCTTATTATAAAGAACTCATTAATCATGTCTTCCACATATAATGAAAACTGCTATCATGAATTTTTCATTCACAGTGCCCTGAAGTGACTAACTCTGAATTGCATTTTCCTAAGAGGAGAGAGTGCTAAGGCATGATCATGTCTCTGGGGTGTGCACAGTTCATGGCCAACCTGCACCAGGTTCTCAGAGCTTATTGATCAAATTTTATAATTACTCATTTTACTCTTTGGCTATTTTGCTGACTTAACTGTGCTTTGTTGGGTTTTTCATACCTGCAAGGCAACTGCAAGGAAAAGGAAGCTTGAAGGTCACCCAGTCTTGCCCTCTTACCGGCAGGCAAAGAACAACCCAGGAGATGATCGCTGTGAGAGAACATTCTAAAATGATCTCAGTTGCTAGGAAAATACCCTAAGAGATAAAGTGTGTAATCACACAGTCGATATTAAGTGAATTTCATTCTCTCCAAAAGAATGCTGTAGCATGCCCACTTCTCTGAACAGAAATGCATGCTAACAAGTTTCATTTCTTTAATGACATAGCGCATGTGACTTACATAGCAAGTCAGTTTTTGTTGTTTGCTTTTGAGTAAAGATTGGCAATGTATGAGATGTGCTGACATTCAGACTCGCAGTCAACACTTCATTTCCACAATTTCAGCCAAAAATGAAGAATTAAAACAAAAACATCTAAAAGATTCACAATATACTTCTCCTCAGACTCTGGCTGGAAATATAGTTCCTTGGCCCTAGCTTTCTGTTCACCTACCCGAGGCCTTTTCAGTACTTACTGATCCTCCACATACACCTGCCAGCAATGAGTGAGGCCTGAGCTCTCAGAGAAGCCGCCATCTGCCCTAGGGGAAATGAGCCAGAACTGTGTTCAGGTCCTAAAGTGAAAACCCAATCCGAGGCAGCTGAGGGGGGTGGGGTGGGGTCTAAAGAATGAAGAGTCCTCTGAAGAGATATCAGTAAGTGAACACTCTGCTCTGGAAGTGACATTTCCCTGGGCCTTTTTTCAGAACAGGGTCTTCTAAAGAAAACTAAACCAGAGAGGAAATGGAGCGCTCTCGCCCTCTCCATCTGCCTCTGTGTCTGTGTGTCCGTCTTCTTATGTCCCTCTCGTCTGTGTGTGTGTGTGTAAGTGTATGCTTGCGTGTACGTTGGCAGCTAGAAGGGATGGCTATACCCACAGGGCAGCGATGTACACAGACGGGAAGCAACGGCTCTGTGCTCGCCCTGTACGGTTTTTCCAGCCTCTCTCTTACATTTCACTCCTATCGTTTAACGGCACTTTCGTGCTCAGCTGTAATCTTTGGAAGCACCACTCGCTCCATCTTGTCCGTGCGCAGGCCTGGGCCTTCCAAGGTCTGAAACACACTTCTGCGTCCAACTCCAGAAGCGAGTGTGGCTCCTAGGTGAGGGGCCCTAAGTGAGGGCGAGCTCGGGAGCGGCCAAGGACAGCGAAAGCCTGAGGCGGCCACTGGTAAACCACCCGCTCTCTCAACAGTGCGCACAGCTGCAGCTTCGGACGTTAATCCTGAGGCCTAGTCTCACTCGCACACTGGCCCTGGTAATCGTAAACTGAAAGTCTGCCTCACCCAGGACTAGCTGGACTGGGGCAGCTCCAGCTACTCATGGCTTGGCACGGGGGCTCCGCACCCCGTGTCCCGGGCCTGCCCCCCCGGGACCCCGCGGCAGACCCTCCGAGCATCCTCCAGGCGGCCTCGGTGAGCGCGTCGGCCCGGGGACTCTCCGCAGCGCGCCCCCTGGACCTCGCCGGCCACGCATGCGCACGCTCGGGCCGGCCGAGTAACGGACCACAGCTCCCCCCACCGGAAGTGGGGCGCGGCGCGGCGCGGCGGCGCGGCGGCCCGCGCTTCCCTCGGCGCACCATGGCGCGGGCCGGAGCGGCCGACGAGCGGCGGCTGCTCCTGCGCTCCGTCGCGCTGTGGCTCGCCCTGCTCGGCGCCCGCACGACGGCCGCGTCCAAAGCGGTGACCGCGCACTTGGCTGCCAAGTGGCCCGAGACCCCGCTGCTGCTGGAGGCCAGGTGGGTGCCGAGGCCGGGGCGTGGCGGCGGACCCTGGATCGGCGCAGACGCCGCCGGCAAGATGCTGCGCAGAGCCCCGCGCCCCGGGGTCCTCGCACGTCCCCGCGTGTCCTCCCATCCCGGGGCCCCTCAGATCCGCTCAGGCCGACCCCACTCTGATGCATCGCCCCGTCTAGCCCCAGCACCCCCTTAGATCTGCGGTCCTCTGCGACCCCGCAGCTCCTCAGCCCCCTCAGATCTGGCGTCTTCTCCGACCCCAGCGTCCCCTCAGAGCTAGTGTGCCCTCAGATCTGGCACCCTCGGTACCTCTCCAACCAGGCGTCCTCCTCTTGTCCCTCTATGTCCCCAAGCACCTGGAGCATCATTGCGCCCAACAGTCACTCTGCCACTCACTCACCCCACTTTCCTGCCCGCCTAGGATTTTTAAAACTTCTCTGTCCCAAGCTGATTCCTGTTCCTAAACGTCTTACGGACATGGAAGGTGGCATTTAATGCAAACCTTTCTGAACAATTCTAGTTGGCAGACAGCACACTCAGAGCGCCTGGTTTTCCAGTTACGTTTTATCTCCCAAGTTAACAGGGGAGGAGGCAGCTTCTCAGTTACACCCTTGTCCCCAAATATCTCTACAGCGGGATTTGTTATTCATTCTGTGTACTTTCCTTGCATAAAACAGACATATTACTGGATTTTGCCCTTTCATGTTCCCGTAAACGGAATAGAAACCCTGCCCCTCATGGCTCATGGTGGCACACCCTTTTAATCCCTGTGGAGCAGGAGGACGAAAAATTTATGAATTTGTGGCTAGCCTAAGGCTACCAACGGGAGACTTTGTCTCAATTTTTGTTCCTGTGTATTGGGCATAAAGTTTTGTAACCGTTTTAATGTATTTACAAAACAATATCCCATGCATCTAAAAAGAAACCTCATCGCATTATTACATCACTGATCGCATTGCATTTACTTGATGCCACACAGCAGTTCTTACTGACTAAATGGTTCTAGCTTAAATGTGTCTGTTTCCTCTTATCCACACTGCCTGACCTGATCCCACGGTTGGTCCCCATCGGTCAGTATTTTTGTTATTTATTTATTCTTCTGTCATTCATTACATCCAGACTGCACTCTCCCCTCCCGCCACCTTCCCAGTCCTTCCCCCATACCTTCTCTCCCCCAGATCCACTCCTCCACTTCCCTTCAAAAACAGAGCAGACCTCCCAGGGCCATCAGGTGGCCATGACATAAGTTACAGTAAGAAAAGGTACAAACCCTCATATCAAGGCGAGGCGAGGCAACCCAGTCGGAGGAGAAGGGTCCCAAGAGCAGGCAAAAGAGCCAGAGACACCCCCACTCCCACTGTTAGGAGACCCACAGGAACACCCAGCTACACAACCACAACATAAGCAGGGACCTAGCTGAGACTCATGCGGGCTGTTTTTCAGTCGGTGTGAGCCCTGATGAGCTCTGCTTTGTTGATTCTATGGGGTGTGATGGTGTCCTCTGCCAGGGTCCGGCTCTGGGTGAGGTCAGGGTCTGAAGAAGGGTGGAGGGAAGAGCAGCAAGGGAGGAGTGAGTCAGGCATGGGGGGTTGGGAGGAGCTTTACGTCCTGACTGACTGACAGTCTGGGTGCCTTTTTATTTATACAGAATTTAGTAGGCAGGGATAGATGCATGTTGTTCCAAAACATAGTTCTACAGTGTAGCTTAGGTATCTAACCTATTTTTTATTTTTATTTATTCATGGCTTATATTTTTAACAGTGAATTTATGGCAGAAGAAAGTAATGAAAAATTTTGGCAGTTTGTGGAAACAGTAAGAGAATTAGCAGTTTATAAGCAAACAGGTAAGTGATGTACATATTTTAGCATATGAAATTTATGCTTATATGCTTACATTAGATGTGTTTTAAATCATCATAGTTAAATATGAATGCTGAGTGGGTTAGTAACTCAGAACATTATTTGAAGTTTGGGCATGTAGCTCTGCTGGTAGAGTTCTTGCCTAGCACACAGAAGCCCTGGTTTGGGTCACCAGCATCACCAAGGAAATAGGCACGATGACCCACTCTTGAAATCCCATCCTTTGTGATGCAGAAAGGTGAGAAGTTCAAGGTCATCCTTTGCCATATATTGAGTCAAATGTTACTCAGAGCTGCATGTGATCTTGTCTAGGAAGAAAGAAAAAGAAAGAAAGAACTCTCTGAACTTGAACAGATGTTTTAGTGGAAACTGCACTACCTATTTTTGTGCCAGCTTGACACAAGCTGGAGTCACTTGAACAAAGGAAACCTTAGTTGAGAAAATGCCCGACTCAGCTAAACCTGTGGGCAAGCCTGTGGTGCCTTTTCTTAATAAGTGACTAAATATTACCCAATAGCATTCTGGGTATGCCCGCTTTTGGCCATGATTCTGGGTGTATATGAAACCTGGCTGGGTCTGGGCATGGTGGTTGAAACCAGTCTGGTTGACATAGAAAATTCAGGCCAGGCAAGGCTACGTAAGTGAGACCTGTTTTGAAAAGAAAGAAGAAGGAGAAGGAGAAGGGAAGGGAGAATGAAAGAAAGAAAAGAAAAGAAAAGAAAAGAAAGATAGATAGATTGATTTAGGGAACAAGCCTATATGCAGCTCTCTTCCTGGGTTCCTCCACCTTAGTTCCTGCCTCCAGGTTCCTGCACAAATTCTTGCCCTCACTTCCCTTCAGGAAGGACTGTGATCCGGACAGGAAAGTGAAATGAACCCTGTTCTCCCATGTTGCTTTGGTCATTCTGTTTTATCACAGCAATAGAAGGAAACTATTGTAACTAGGAAACTATTGTAAACATTCATTTCTAAGATAGATATAAAACCTGTAGGAACACTCAAATAATTAGTAATGATTGTATATTGTTACAGAAAATATCAAAATTTCTGCAATATTTAACCTAAATTTCTTTTTTTAATATTTATTTATTTATTTATTTTAAATTTTATTTTTTTCTTATCAGTTACATTTTATTAACTCTGTATCCCGTGTCCCGATCCCTCATTCCCTCCCAGTCCCTCCCTCCCTCCCTCATCTCCACCGTGCCCCTTGCCAAGTCCACTGATAGGGTGGACCTCCTCCCCATTCATCTGATCCTGTTTTGTCAGGTATCTTCAGGACTGGCTGCAAAGCTCTCCTCTCTGGCCTAACTTTTGCACTGGGATATTTTTTTCTTCTTTTTAATAGGCTTGATCTTTTTGAGTTTTAAGACTACAGTAGAAGTGGGGAAAAGTGCAGAGATTTCTCCTGTCTACTCCACTCATTCACACAAACAGCCTCCCTTATTCAGAGTCTTCACCTGAGTCGATTAACCTACAATGATTCATCATTACTGTTTAAAATTTATAGTTTATACTCTTAGTATTGTGTATTCTGTGAGTTCTAACAAATGTTTGGCCTTGCATTTTTATTGCCTGTGTACTTTTGCTTTAGAACTCTTGAAGATATTCCCAGTAATCATCCTACAAAAGTCAGAATAATGTATTTTCATATCATTATCTAAGATTGTAATTCCTACTTTTATATATCCCAAAATGTGTGTATCTATATCTACTAACACTTACATTAATATATATTTTTAGAGAATATCAAAATATCGAGGCCATTAAAGGTAGGCTATAACAGAAGCTATAGCTTTATTCTGAAGGAAAGGTATTTTCATCTTGAAATAACATAGATGACATGAATGTAGAATTCCATAGAAATTAAATCTTTAACCATTTAGACACAGAAACTTTTTATTGTAGATGATTAAATAGTTTTATTTTTACTCAAATGTAAGTGGAAGATAATTAGTTTTAAGTATTCATTTGCTGCAGTGTGTTTGGCTCAAGTGGCTTTGATATTTAGCAATGTTTGACTTAATTAGATAGATCCTAAAAATAAAGACGTCAGATACCTTTGATGGCATTTCAGGTAAAATATTTATAAAAACCTAGCAATTTATTAAGATGCTAGGCACTGCTTAAATGGTGATACTGTAAGGCTGAGGAAGTATGACGTATGTATTCAGTACTTAATAATATGGTAGAGTCACGAAACAGCACACTCTCAGGTGGGCCTACTCTCAGGTGTGTCTAATCTCACTCAGGTGTGCTTACGCTCAGGTGTGCACACTCAGAGCTGCAGCAGGGCTCTGCATGGTGTGAACACAGAAGGTGCCTAGTCAACCTTGGGAGAAGGTCTGCTTAAACTTTTTCTACTTGTGATGACTTTTTAAACAAATTTTATTAATTACACTTGATATCCCCCCATAAGCCCCTCCCTCCTCCCCTCCCAATCCCATCTTCCCTCCCCCTTATCCACGCATGCCCCTCCCCAAGTCCGCTGATAAGGGTGGGCTTCCTCTCCTTCCTTCTGATCCTAGTCTATCAGATCTCATCAGGAGTGGCTGCATTGTCTTCTTCTGTGGCCTGGTAAGGCTGCTCCCCTCTCAGGGGAAGGTGATCCAAGAGCAGGCCAATCAGTTTATGTCAGAGACAGTCCCTGTTCCTATTACTATGGAACCCACTTGGACACTGAACTGCCATGGGCTACATCTGTGCAGGGGTTCTAGGTTAGCTCCATGCATGGTACTTGGTTGGAGTATCAGTCTCAGGAAAGA